TCAACAGTTTATTTGCTAGGCACATTCTGCCCTCATGTGTGAATGTATTTTGAGCCGACTAGTCACATAGTACTTCATTTCTACTACAGCGGTTAATGCAGAGTACGTCAACACACTCAGTAGTGGAGAGACCGTTTGACACATTTTGTATGAATTCCACACAATGACTAAGAAAGATGCAATATGAGCAGACCTAAATGCTTCAAGTGTTTTCACGAACCGATAGCTTTGATCACCTCAGGCTGAAGATGCAATACAAATCTTGAATTTAAGAAGTGGGGTTGATAAAAAAGGTCATCTCTGTTATAGATCACACTTCCGTCTGTGGAATTCTGGTAACTGGGAGACCTGAGGATGCTTTGGGAGTTTGCGAGGCTCTGAAGTGCAATATTCCTTTTGTGGTGGTGGCTGTAAGTGCTTGTCCTTTGTGAAAAACAAATTAAAGGTATACAGCCTGGGTACAAATGAATCGCCTTCGTGCGTAATGTTGACCAGATCCAAAAGACAGCATTAACTTCATATGATGTGATTACATTGGGACAGGGTTTGCACATTTTACTGCTAGCTAACACACTCGGCCACAAAGCATAGGTGGCGGGAATGTCCCGAAGTCAGTCAGGCAGAGTCAGAACTTATGCTCAATTTATTCGGCGGAAAAGCAACAAATTGTAGCTTATTTCACAAACTTCGTTTTCAATTATTCTGATAACAAAATTTAGTGGTCAAAAGCCTAAAAAGCAGTGAGTGCTCTCTTTTTTGTTCTTTCGGTTGTTAAAGGTTTTCTTGCTTCAGCCTATTCATTTCATTTCTGGCTTAATTCATTTTTGCTGGAACAATCAGATACCTAATGATATCTCATTAACACTGGCGCCAGGGAGAGATGAGGTACAGTAGCCTCATAAAAGCGGTGCCAATTTATTGTGAGATCGTGTCTAAAACTTCAGAGTATCGCCCACCTAACAGGGCGCAAAAATGGTTTAATTGCTATTGTTTGCTTGGAGACGTAATTTATTTAGGATATGTGATGCATATGGAAGTGATTGAGGCTGGACTTCCATTAGCAGACATTGAAATAGCTCCGTTTTGTCTTTGTATTCACAGTGTGCTACATTCAGTAATCAGCATTCGACTGAAGCAACCATTATTTCACCGTTACTATACTGCTCATTCTAATAATGCAAAGTTTTAGTGCTATGTGATGCACTACTTTTGGCCAAATGGTAGCCGATGGGACTGCAGCACATCTTTTGGCTATCAACGCAATATTTGAAGTTATTCGTTGCAACGTTTGTAGCGGTTTGGTAAATGAAGCCGCCTAGACTTTAGCAAATTGCAAAAAATAATTGCTTCATTGACCTCCATTTCCTTCTTGAATGAGATTTATTCTTCTGCTTATAAAATAGACGGTGTGTATATAAATAGTACTTATTGCGTGTGGTTTATTTCTTTGTGCAGGATAGTGGTGGACTTGCAACCATAATCGACCAGTACCTCTCGGAGGTGAAAATCATGCGTGAATTTACTCATTACACAGGAGATACGTTTGGACCTTTGGAAGCAGATCATGAAAGGTAATGGAACAGTTTTTGGTCTCAAACAAAGGAGGAGTATTATAAAAAGTAGCTCAACAGCTCAATTTATGTGCCTCGGGTAGTGTTTACTTTATTTAGAGACGGCAAGACAACCATATGTAGACTTCAATACCCCCTTCTCTGAAATCAAAATTTGTATCACTCCTGTTTGGTACTTTCGAGCAATCATTCGTAACTAGTTTAAGGCTTTGCGTATATACATGCTAATGGGATTGTAATATAAAATCCATACTAGGTTGTTGGAAATTATGCTGCGATACTGGCCGGAAACGTCCCCTAGTGAGGAATTGGTCGCTTTGGTGGACACTATCATGAGCTATTCACACTTGATGCAGTTCTTCTTCGCGGAATCTGATTCCGATGCATCACTTGAAGGAAAGATTGTTTCCGCGCTTATAAATCCCGGTACTATCTGCTTATCCGATTTCAACGATAATAAATTGAAAAGAAGCATTAGATTGTGCAAAAACAATGAAAGATTATTCGAATATCTCATGACTGTTCTAATTTAGCTCTATTTCAAGATACCAGCAAGAAGCAATCGTGGAAACCACGGCTAAAATTGGCGATGGAACTCAATACGACTGAACTTGTTCTAGAAGGGATTTTGGCCGACAGTCCATGGACGGTAAAGGCCTCTGATAAATTAGTAGCCGATCGTATGTAGTCTGTAGCTAATCTTTATTTTAATGCTTTCACATTCGCTACCCATTAGCAATTTTCCACTTGACCTAGAAATCAAAGCATATAAACTTTGAACCATCAACCGAAAGGAGGTTTCCAAACTTAATGTGCTTTTGTAGCTCGAGGAGATCAGTCCGTTCGCCAAGTGCTGTCTCATTTCAAACAAACCGCAATTTCTGCGCCTCTTTTGTGATGCAGGTCTTCGCATGTATGAGTTTGCGGACCGAAAGACCGTTGAGGAGCTCTTCACTATAGAGACCCACAGAAATGTGAGCAGTCAGACCGTTATTTTTTTTTAATTTACACCACGACTACATTTGAGCCTATTTGTGTCAACTCTTCGGTGAGACATTATTACCATACGAATGGCCACTGGACTGACTACTTTTACCATTCAGGTGCATTCACCTATGGTGTTAAAAAATAACCTCTCGTATTGTTAAGCCAGAATAGTCCATTAAATGAGGGTTTTTTAAGACAGTTCCCGTCACTGTCACATGAACGGCGGATGTACCATTCATTGGGACCGTTTTGGCCTTCTTTTTAAACGATGTTGGAGACAAGTAGCTGTGCAAGCGTTCCCACATCAATTCAAAGATCTCAGCTAAGGGAAATTCTATGACGAGATGGAAAATGGGTACTTTTGGACTTGATGCGATCGAGGGCCGTATGCTTCAGTGAATGCGAGTTACAAGTTAAAGTTATTATGAATACTTAAAGAAAATTTTAGTTCATGAAATAGAGCACAACTAGGAAACACACACTTAGTGAAGGTCAAAAGTGTTTATTGCTAATTACTTAATTCAATGAGAATGACACCAATACTTATACTATATGTCTCTACTTATCTCTTTAGACCGTTGGAGGAAGAGAACTGAAACAGTTTTTTCTCTACCATATACGCAAGGTAGGTGGGTAGCTATGATGGAATGTGCATTCGTGGTTCCATATATCCATTGTCCTAGAAAGTTCTTCTTCACTACTTTTCCAGCCTTTCAATGTCTGCTTTCATTATTCGCATATCCCACATTTGTTCGTATGTGTGCAGTGGAAATGATTTAGAACATGTGGGTTATGCAACAGTTTAAAATATTTACTTTCGTTAATTGAAGGTACCAGCAAACATAACCGTGGATGTAGTGCAGCAGACGCTCAAAACTATGATGGGGCGCAAGTACTTCACTCACGTCACACGTAGCGATCATCGGTGCCGATGTGTGATGCGCAGATCGAAGGAATCTTCGTCGAGTCAACAAAGTGCTGGTAGCACTTAAACTTTGTTTTATGATCTTACGCCTACTTGTGATTTCTTTTTTCTAGAAATGGTAATCCAGAAGGCTATGACTGATTGTGTTCGCCATCCTAAAGCACTCACTTGATTTTATGACCAAAACATTTTGTTCTGACTTAAAACTCGTGTGCAAAGTTATTGATAGACTGCGAATAGTTGTTTAAAGTTGATAGAAATCACAATGCATTTGCGCTCCTGAGTACTTCTGTGGCAAGACAAAATAAACACTAAGTAGTTTCAAATAAATGTACGAATGGCCCGGAGTCATTGGTTAATTATCATTACTTTCATGTTTTTAGTCGAAGTAGTCGTAAAACCATCCTATCTTCATGAAAACGAAAGTTATGTGCAATACCTCTACCTATGGGCTCTTGCGTCGAAACGCTACGAGATAGCGCGTTACTTGCTAATGATGCTCACTGATATAACTGCAGCGGCACTGTTCGGTGCATCATTCCTGCGTCGAAAAGCACGAATTGCACGATCACTAACTGACAATGAGGAGTTGAAGAATTATTCACTGTAAGTTTGGCAGTGTTCTCTCCTGTCATTCCAGGTTTACTAACAATTGTTACGTCGTATACAGTTGTAGAAAGTCAAAATTTAGTCCGGGAATGTACTCTGACGCTCACTTATTGCCGTAATGATTTGTGTTGCATTTATTTGCGAACTGGAGCTATGCAATTCATCGGTTTCAATCATCCAAGGATGAGCAAAGCTTCTTTCCAAGTCATATGATGGTGAGCAGTCGTTTGGGCAGACTCAGTCTGTTTCCACGACATGAGTTGGACGTCGAGAACCATAAGGGAGCAGTCGTGTGGAAAGCGTATTGGTTCTGCTAGCACAAACAACTGGAATAGAACGCTTTCTTAATTGAAGGCTATCATTTAGATAAATTTAAATTGAATATGGCAAATGATTTTTTGCTATTAGCTTTATTTCTAACGTTTTACCTACATGGTTTCGCTGCCAAATTTAAAAATGCGGGCTGGTCTGTGTAAGGCGGGATGTGTTAGATAATTATCAGTCACTGTACACAGAGGCTTACCCGTTGCCATTTTTTTTAGTTTAAATTGGTTATTGCCCTCACATATACACAAGCGTTTTCAAATTAAATCAACTTTGCGTAGCATTTCACCTAAAATTCAGTAAACAATCTCGTGCCATGCATGCTTGGGTGTAAAGGCTCTTGCCCCAATTGCACACTGTTTAATAGTCTTCAGTAATCGGACATGCCACCTCCATGCTATTAGCATGATATGCAGAAGCTCGGTCGCATTAACAAGACAGAAGCCTAGATTGGATTCTGGCTCATTTTGGGCTTCGGGCCTGATTTTCGCACCAACCGCATGCAGTGCTATCGTGTTAAGCAAGAGTGGTTTTCTTTAAACATGCCAACATGCATGCAAAAAATGCACAAAGCACAATAGTCTTTCATCACTTAATGGAAGGGCGATTTTGATACTTTGTCATTTTTCACAGTGAGTTTTCATGTACAACCATTCATGAACTTACATGGTATAGTTTGACACCTACTGTGAGGGCTGGATCTA